GGTTCACTTATGTCTTCTAGTTTTAAATAGCCAGAATGCTAGAACTAGAATTCTAGTTTTAAATAGCCAGAAAGTCTTGATACGTAAAAAGTCCAGCAGTGCTTAGTGAAAGTCTCTTCTGAACCGGTGGCCACGGACATGCCTCACATGAAAGCACTATCTGGTAGCACTGAATTAGTGGCTATTAAATTTCAAAATACTGCCAGCATTTTCTAAGACATACCCTGTCTCACTGGAATAAACTACTGCCTGTTTTAAACAATTATCCACCTACCCACTCCCAATCTATTCCACTCTTACCAGAACAATAGAAATAAATGGATTTTTAAACACTGAATGATTGGACAAGCTACCAATACAATCATGTTGCCACCTTCAACACAAAACTGGTACTGCAATTTTGCAATTTACAGGCAGGCAGATGTAGCAAAACTCAGATATAGCAGATAGGAGTAAAAAATCTAGAAATTTAGAATCCTTCATATAGTATTTTTTTTTAAATTGTGGGAAAATTATGGTAAATCACATTCCTATAGAAGAAAAAAAAAATTCAGATCCTATCTGGAAAGCTAAACACTAATATTAATTAGCAAGAAAGCAGCCCAGAATAATTCCAAGGAAAACAACAGAATGTTATGAGTCATTCAAAAACACAGTAAAAGCAATTGACCGTTTTCAAATCTCCTTTATTTTGTCCTCCCAGGAATCTGAATCAATCAACACTTTAAAATGCTAATCCTAAAGTAATTCCCAAAGAACTGTTCAAGCAAAGCCCAGAGAAACAAAAGGTACCCAAAATAGTGCCATAAGTGATTAGGTCATACCCTGTAGATCCTACCACCTTGAACTCACTCAGTGAGTCCTCAAAACACCACAAAACTTGTGAATGTCTGCCTCTAACTGGATCAAGAAAAACAATGGCATTGAAAACCACAGACTGAAACAACAGCAAACCCAGAGATTTAAACAGTGAGACTAACAGACACAGCAGAAGGCATGTTCAGGCAGTCTTCTCTGTTGAGATTTGCAACTAGACTAGCAGCCTCCAAAATCACATAATGGGTATTTGCTCTTGCACACTACAGTCCCCAGCTCCAAATATGACCTTCAAAACTTTTATCAGACACTTAGTTTTGTTGAATTGGAATTTGATCAAATCAAACTGATTGCTTCATAATCCCAAAGCCTACACAGTGTTTGGGACAGCCACATAAACAAATTAACTCAGAGAAAGCACATACAAAGCCTAGAGGCATTTTGTGACAGTGGAGTAATTTAGAAACTGAAGTATAACACAGAACCAAAGTTCATACCCCAGAGATGAGAAGTTAGGTATTACAACTGTGCACGTTGCATGGCTTAGAAGTCAAAACCTTTTTATTAAGTCATTCCAAATAGTTGACCCTCCTACCACTCTTTTAAGACTAGTAAATCCTGGACTTCACCATCATTGTGAAGTCATTTACAGTCAATGCATTGAGTAAGTTCTCTCAACAAGTTGCACTTCATTGTTTACTCAATCACCCTCTGCAAGTTTCAAGCTGTAAGATTAAAGACATTTGTGAATGTAACTGTTTTTAAATTAACTCAGATAAAATAAGTTTCAGGTAACCAAACTATTTTCTTTCCTTTTGTTTTTCTGAAAAACAGAATAATTACTTTAAGCATAAACCAACAAGCGACCACAGAGTCATTTGGTCCTTTACTTCATAAAATTTATTATTTGACACAAATTCTTAAATTGATGAACAGATTCCTTGCAATCTGTGGGTCTTGAGGCATATCTGTCAGTTGTCCCCACTTACAGTGCTTTGATTTTCATGACTGAGTGGTCTCAGTACACACTAACCGGAATCCTTCTGAATTAAATTTAACAAAAATAGTTCAAAGTAAACACACCCTTCGTTCTTGCCTCATTCCCAAATCAGCACAGTTTGCATACCAAGGCCCCAACACGGATTGCTCTGTTCTACAAGCTTGTTCCTTCTGTTCTCTATGACTTGCTAATGGAATCATAGCTCATTAGATCCACATGCAATTACATGGACTAATAATTTTGGGGGAAAAAGATCACCGTAAGACATACCATGTTCCTTCGCTTAAATTAAATATCAGTAACAGCATGTATGTTTGCACATATAAAATAAAACATATGCTTTTAATATATTTCACATATATGTATCTACAGACACATGTACTCATATGTCTCTAGCCCAGTTCTGTATGTGGAGATCTGCAAGTACTGTATGCTGAAAACTGTAAATAGCACCTTTTTTCCCCACATATATTATGCTTCTGTGCAAGTGGCACAGATATTAGAGATGGCAGACAACTTTCAAGATGAGTTGTGCTACTAAACCAGCATCTACAGACACCAACTATTGGCATGTCCAGTGCCTGGATACACTGTGAAAGTGGCTGAAGACCAGGGTTGAGGTTTGAAGGAGAAGAAAGGAACATCCATTCTATTGTGACACCAAAACAGCAATTCATCCTATGCTTATGAACTAAATCCGTGCTAAATTAAGCAGGCCATTTCCACTGAAGAGTAGAGAGCTACATACCAAGTCTGCCACAGATGAGTTACAGACTGGTTGGTTGGTCTGTTACAGATAAATGATACTTGGTTTTGAAAGAAGTCTGTAGGCTACTAACTTTCATTTTATTGCCTGCTCGATCCTACTCAGATGTTTAACATATGTTCAGCAGGAAATGAAATATACAGTCTATGATTTATGACTGTCAAATTGCTGGAACCAGAACAACAATCCTCTGTGTGCGCATAAGCAGGGCATGAATTTCCCTCTCATTCCTCACTCCTCATCTTCCTCTACCTTTATAAAAGACAGAGGACTTAAAATCCCAAGACTTTTACAGTGAATTTTCGTAACATTTTTAAGAGATGGAAAATTAATTTTCAGTCCATTTTTTGATCACAACATTATTTTTTATTATACACACAAACATTTGCAAACGTAGTTTGAGAGTAACAGCTATACAGCAAACAACAAAAAGATTAACTTCTTCCTATAGCCTTAATTTCTTTGTAAAAACATATGACGTTCTCAAGACTAGGTGCTGTTAAGTAACTTCCAGCTTAATGGAGCCCCCAACATATTTCGTTTGCCATGTAATCTGAAGAGACTTTGACCAACCATTATATTTCTGCCATTTTATCAATCAGTTGTTTCATGGACTAACAGGTCATTTCAATTTATTTTCCCCTGAGCTTTAAAGATGGAAAAAATATAGAAAACACACGATTTAGTAATTTTAACAAATAATCAGAAGTAATAAATTGAGACTTAGCTGTATTTTTTTTATCTATTTCACAAAATGTAGTTACATAAATAAATAAACTAAGCACAAATCACCAAGGAATATAGCTGAAGAGAAGCATGAACTTACCACTAAATCATCAAGGCACTCCTCTCAGGAAAAATTCCAAACTGCACATAATTTAGATGGATTTTTTTTTCCAAACACTTGTTTGTAAATGTGAGGAAGAGCACTAAGAGAAACTTCTTTTGCCTTGGGATCTCGAACAATCAGTGCCTTTTGGAATCAGAACCTTCCTTGGCAGGCAATATATGGTAGGGATTGCAGACCAAAGAGTACTGAAAAGCTTGCCGGAGTCCTTAATTGTTGGTTATTAATTATCTCAGCAGTGAGCTAATAACTTGCTAAACTACCTAATCTCAATTATTTCTTCACTTATGATGTGGGTGTCTGTAAAAACAGTTGTATTGCAGTCTCAAGAGAAAAAACTTAATGGAAGCACAAACCTGAATTGTAACACTCAGATACATAGATAAAAAAAAACCCAACAAAACGAAACAACAGACACTCGCAGTCATTCTTGTCTCACATTTATATTGTTTTAGTAAAGTAAGAGGTTGAAAATGTGAATAGTTTTTCTTGATGGATACAGATGAAAGACTATAACAAGGTAGGACTTCAAAGGCTACCAAGATTTGTCTCGCAACTGAAAAAAATCAGGTTAAACACTACATTTTCTGCCTGAAACTCATGATTTCATTTTTGTTTCTAGATGACACAGGGCTAGCAACTCATTACACAAACCCGTCTACATCCAGTTGCTCATATCTCAATCCATTGAAACAGCATCTTTAAAAAAGCTGCCAAAAATCTAATCTAATTGCTCCATGTTTCATTTTCCCCACAATATAAAATACAAATAATGATAATACAAATAATGTCCTCCTGGAAATAATCAAACCTACTGATACAGGCTGCTATATAAGAACTCCTGATTATTGCTAAAGGGGAAGTTGTACGCTAACTGTAGTTACACAATTTCAAAATTAGTTGTGGCCATGCTGCACACTACTCAGAATAAATAGGCAGCCTTCCAAATTTCCTTGCATAAAAACTAAGACTGCTTTCCCAAAAGTCGATACGAGGACATGAGGATAGCACATATTAAATAGTCTTAGCTGTTGGATTTACAAAAACACAAGTCAGGTGGAAGTAAAAAATTCAGATCTTAAAATTCTACTGCAATAGTCATGTTTCTAAAACCAGGTTGAGCTTCTTTTTCACCCACAAAATATATATCCTAACAAGTGCAGGTGTATGTTAAACTACCTCAGTTAACTATACAGGCAAATAGATCTGCAAGATGTTTCTAAATGGAGAACAACAAGTGGCAGTTTGCCCACACAAAGCATTACATTTACCAGTTATTACAGTTTGTGAAGTCAAGTTATATGAATGCATTATCTGCATTTGCTTTCTTCAGAAAACTAATCTGCAGTTGTTTTGCAAAAATGTTATGTTCACTATGTGGATGGTCCATACTCCCCAAAAGGCAGATGAAGTGGGTGAGAGGCAAATGAAGAGGGAATTATCATAACAATATGTAATGTTTAAATAGCCAGCATGAAACAGAGGTAGAAGACAACATACTTTGAAGTGAACTTCAGCAATACAGTAGCACAGCAGGAAGGAGAAGATGCTCAAATTCAAAATGTACTTACCGGATTGCGATTTGAACTGAATCAAGGCACTGTTGTATCCCACTGTAATTAACAAAGACTGTTTTCCCACACGACAATATTCAGTTTCTCTGTTAACCAGGCATTTAAACACACAGACTCCATCAGCTGAAGGAAAAAAAAATACTTTAGAATACTTTTAGCAGTTAAAACCAAAACCATATAGAAAACTAGATGCCTCTGATTAACAATATACATAAGTATGTATTCGAAGTACAGAACTTGGCAAAAATACACTAAACATGTTCCTTAAGACAATTTTACAGAGAGCTACAGCCTCCATCCCACTTATCATCCACAGTTCCTTGAAGTTGTCCTGTCCTCAAAAGAAAGAGAGCTAACTAAATTAATTTTTACCTAGATCCTAAAAAAGTCTTAAATTAACACTTTTTCTACTACTTTTGCTTCTATTATCTTATGTGCTGATGTCCTTATAACCTCAAGATTTCCTACTTTGTCAAATTAAATGGCAAGGTGAAGAATCAGGGATCAATTAGTTTGACTAAATGAGGAGAAATGAACCAACTTTTTCTAGCAAACACACATTATGTACCGCATCACTTACTACAGCTATCAATAAACCTATGATGCGAGAAAAACTAATGCAATTTTTCAGGCAATGAAGCACACATATGTACTTCAGAGCTACGAGCAGCAGAGGTCAAGCCTGTGGCCCCTGGAAGGGGGATCCAGTATCAGAGGCTTAGGTGATGCAGTACACACTGTATCACTACCAGCCTCACAGCTGTCAGGTGGCAATTGTGTGAGCACACCAAGATGCACATCATCACTTTCACAAACCTGAAACAGGTCTGTCTCAAAGGAAACTTAATGAAAATGGCAGCTATGAACATGAGGTACAATAGGTAAAGCTTTTAAATTATCAGGGGTTTGTGTTATACATATCTTCATCACTCAGGAAGCAAAGCTCCAGGACTTAACATCCCTAGAACATTCTTTCATGCATTTTATTTCACTTTGCTGTCAACAAGTGTCTATTATGCTTCTCCCATGCACATTGTATTCTTCTGGAGATAAATGTTAAAATAAAACACAATACCCACCATCATCAGGAAAAGTAAAAGGCTTAAGGCAAAACAGAAACAGAAAGAGAAGTAAAAGTTCACAAATTGGCAGTAAAACAGAAAGGTGATACACTGCAATATACTGAAAAGTATGCAAGAGAAAACAACTGAAGGAAAGCAAGATTGAAGGGGAAAAAAATACACATCTTGAAAAGCAAGAGACATAATAAGTTGATTATTATTAAAAGCTTAGCTGAAAGCTAATTATAGACTGCTGAGCTATGTTATTCTGCTAGCAACATTTGAAGGACCAGACTAAGAAGGTACATAAATACACACACCATACAGGCACTCAGTACGTTTTCTGAAGTCGTGCTGTGATGAAAAGGAAACAGAACAGAGACAAAAGCCACTATATGATGTTCACGGAAGCATAAAAAGGTTTGGGTGTCCACAGGCAGGGACACCTTCCACTAGACCAGGTTGGCCAAAGCCATATGCAACCTGGCCTTGAACACTGCAGGGATGGGGCAGCCACAGCTTCTTGGTGCAACCTGCCAGTGTCTCACCACCTTCACAGTAAAGAATTTCTTCCTAATATCTAATTTAAATCTATCCCCTTTCAGCTTAAAGTCAATACCTCCTTTCCTATCACTACAGGCCGTAGTAAAACACCTCTCTCTGTCTTCCTCATAAGGCCCCTTTAAGTGATGAAATCCCACTGTAAGGTCTCCCCAGAGCCTTTTCTTCTCCAGGCTGTACAGACGCAACTCTCAGACTGTCTTCATAGGAGACATGCCTCATCCCCTGACCATATTTGTGGCCCTCCTCTGGACCAACTCTAACAAGCCTGTATCTTTCTTGAGCTGTACTTTAATGTAGAGCTCCTGTGAACTTATGGCAACCCATTCCTCTCGGAGGTGTCATGAGACATTGAAATGTACTCATAAGCTCATTACAACTTATAAAGACTATTTTTTCATTTGAAAGACTGGGCCTACACTTAAAAACTACCTGTGGGTTTTTGTTTATTTGGTTTCGTTACTGTGAGCTGTTATTCAGCAGCTATGGAGCAAACACTTTGTCAAAAGATTTTTTAAAATACTATTTTTCCAGATCAAATTTTGGGATAAATGTTCACATTTTTCTCAAATACAGCAACATGAGTGTAACTAGATGCTGAGAGTCCAATCCTGGCTAATAAGTGACTGTGGTGTGGACTACAATGGTATTGGTCTAAAGTTCAAAGGCAAGTGTATCTCAAAGTAGTTACAAAAACACATCTTTACTTTAACCATTGATTAATCTTTAAGTACTCATAGCAGTATCAGGGAAAAAATTATTCCAGTTTTAGGTGCATGTTAAGAAAGTAGAATACGGTACTTAAGAATTTTCACTTCCAGATGTCACTTAAGTATTCCTATAACCCACATTTACACTGAGCTAAGGGCCATTTGGAATCAACTTGGTGAACAGTTTGTTCCAAAGTCTCTCACTTGTTGTCTTCTGCCATTTATCAGTTGCCAGTTACAATTAATACATCATAGTTAAGCCATAAGCATAGTGAAATCAATTGCCTGCTAAGTTGGAAGAGCCTACATGTTCATTGGAGCTCCTGTGGACATTCCTCACCCATTTTCTGGCCTGTAGGGAACAGAGGGCAAGTAGCCAGATGCTGGGATCTTTTCTCCTGTCAGCCTATAAACTATATAGCACAACAGCATCAGTAGAACTGTCTTTGCCATGTCCAGGTCTGTACAGATGTTCGTTCACCTTGAAAGTCAGGCAGCATACTGCTTTGATATTTCAGAACAACAAAAGACAGGAAAGGACCAGATTGTATTTTGGTATCAGGACTCAAGGCAGTAAAGGTGGCAGCTAATGTCATACCCTGCAGAATTTTCTGAAAGGTGAAGGAAATACTTTTTTCCCCCCTCAGTTAAAATGGAAAAAGAAAATAATACATTTCAAACTCTGTTGTTGCTTTTGCATTCACTGAATATGACAGCTCACTGCACAGGTTTGGCAAGTCAACAACTACAGGAGTCAAGGAGACTTTAAAAAGGACTAGTAGGTTGTTAGTGTACTGAGGTGGATGAGGACATTGCTCATAGCACTGCTTTTCTACTCGCAGATGCCAGAGATTCTCTGGGATAACCTCCATTTTCTCAACCTGACTTTTAAAATAATTTCATATCCATTTTGGGTGGAGCACATCCCCAATGTCTGCGCATCACTGAAATAAAATGTTCATTCTCTCATTAGAATACATTCAGGATACTCTTAGCTCTCATTTCACTATATTAAAAAAAAACATTTGTAAAAGAGTTTATAATCTTCTTGTAAACAGGAGAAAAAAAGCCTTTGGAAAAAAAAACAGCTAATTTCCCATCTATAGAAGAGCACAGTAACTTTAAGTTAAGCTTCAGCAGAAAATACAGCATTTCAGAACAGTACATGTCTAAAGGACACACAAAACTTGCATGGTGTTAAAGGCAACATGAGCAGAACTCTCTCAAATCCCAAACAGTGCTCCAACAAATGAGAAGGACTCCCCTGGACAGAGCCCATTACTTCCACTCAGCCTTACAAGATCTGACTTCTCTTAGCCTTTTCCTCTCACTTTATTCCTCTTACATACACAGTCATATCTATATCAAGAATGACAACACTCAAAATGTCTAAAAAAATTGCTCTTTCACGTAAAGCAAGTAAGGGAAAAGTAGAAAGTCTTCTGAGATTTAAGTTTTGGAATTTCACCCAGTTAACCATTATACCACCTTAATACTTCACTTGTTCGGAGCTTTAACATTACTGTGACAGCAGACAGGAAGTCCTAAGATACTGTTTTGATGACAGCAGCATGAAGCTGTTGTCAGCTTTATGCATATGAATTGGCTGCAACCTCCATAATGTAATGTGTAATTTAAGCAAAGGTGTGTTACTACATGGAGGCCTGGATTCTTTCAAGCTCAGAATAAACAGCTGCTCTGTTAGGTAACAGATGAGATCCATTTCCTGCAAAAGGGAAGAAAAAACCACTCCATATTACAGTCAATTAAAAGAAAGAATTCGTAAATGCAAATTTCATGAGGAACTGTATATTTCGTAGCATTATCTCCTACCAACTTCACAAACAAGCCTGATCGTTAGTGTAGCAGGCCAATCTAATTAAATATATTATTTTAATAGAACTCTAAAATCAATGCTTGATGAATGATTTCTAGACAGAAAAATAACTCATAATTTATTTAAAATTGTTTCCTTATTCAGCATATTAATGACAAAAAAAAAAAAAGAAAAAGTTAGCAATAATCCTTTTAGTAGTACCAAAATCTTCCTCCTTTGTTCCTCTTCAAAAGACATCTTGGTAAAGTTTTCCTTGGCACAAAACCCTGTGATTGAGAGTCTGAAAAGGAATAAGTCAAAGGCTGGAAATGGGGCAGAAGGTGATGGGGCCCTAGAACCTGGAGAGGGGCTGAACCTAGATTAAAACAAAGGCACAAACTCTGCAAAATTTCACTTTCATAGAGCAGTGTTTAATGAAAACCCCTTATCTTCTTGCTGGAAATATGTCTAAGCAGTGAATGTTTACTTGGAAAATAAATCTACCTTGTAGATACCTATACCTATCCATAGATGCCTTCTACCAAACTGAGCACTAAATATTTACTTCTGCACTGCTCTTTCTCTGATTAAAATGTTAGGTGCGCTAACATTATTAAACATTTTTTAAGATTATTTTAATGTTATTTGAATATTAAATAGTTAACATTTTAACATTATTTAAACACTATCAAAGTATGTTTTAAATACTTCCCAGGTACGCACTTCTTGAAACTGCTAAAACATTTAATCACTAGAAAAGGCATTCACCTCACAGAATGACTTTTCCTAAGTATACGAACTCTTTCTGGGAATGAGAGATTTAACAGTTGCTCCTGTTTCCCTGCCAGTTCTCATCCTGTTTCCCTTAAAGATTTTCCCTTTAAGATTTTCCTGGCCTTTGTGATTAAGAGGAAGAAGATGTTTACACTAATTTAATTACTGCGAATCAGCTTTAGAGCAAGGATAACCTGACAC